TGCCCTGATCGGGAATGAACCATTGACCTTTTTGGTTTGCAGGAAAACGTTCCAACCAACTGAGCCGCATCAGTTAGTGCAAGAACTCATCTTTTTATGACTGTGCCTTATATGTAAAATATGATTTTCATTAGCTTTCTCATAATTATACATTTATCAGGAACATTGTTCTGTAGGAAAAAATGAATAACTTAGTAACATTTGTGAAACCACTCTTCCCCTGTGTCTTGTCAAATTTATTAGTAAGGTCACCTAGATGTTAGATTGATGGCTAACACTGGGCTCAGCTGTAAGAGCTAGGTTCAGTTTTGCTTTGTCCATACAGGAATGTGATTTTAATATTCGGAGCCTGAAAACTAAAAGGTGCCATTCTGGAAAGGTTTAACTTTCAATTGTGAAGGAGAAGTACAAGAAAGGCACAGCAAACATAACACAATTTATCTGATGGTACATGGCGATGAAATAGCTACTGCAAAAGTGGCAAGTTTCGCCTGTGCTCCCTGAAAAATCACCAGAAGCAATGCCCTTGAGGCAGTGACTGCCACTATAGGTGATGAAGAAAATAAGAATCAGAGAGAAAAAGAGAGGGCTCCTTAAGGGAAACAGCTGATGCATAAAAATAAAGACCAGTACGAAATTAGCAACACGTAGCTGACTATTTTTTTTCTTTTTTTTGTAAAGTTCACTCAGCTACTAAGACAGATATAAATTAAACTTTAGAGAAAATGTGGCATCCCAAGTGGCAATTTGAAGCAATCATAACCCATAGGCTGAGAACAAGTTTGGTATAAGATCCCACTGTTTTCTGGCTCTTTTTGTGTTGAGGGCGCACCATATTGAACTACACCATTCAAAAAGCAAATTCAGCTACCTGTTAAACATGTCAGTTTCAAAATGTTCAAGATTCTCTGCCTAGCACTCACATTACTCAGCTGTCAAAGTAAAGGGCTCAGATATATAATGTAAAATTACATTTTAACGAGGTGTCATGTGTGTTTAAAGTTCTTATTCATCATTACATAGCCACAGCTTTTACTGGAGACACAAATTCACTTAATTAGCATATTATAAGGACAGAAGGTTCACCTAATCTGCATTGCTAAACTGTTGTATGTAGGCTTTCTGTTGTTATTTTAGAGTCTACTATCTTCAGCACATATACGAATGGTCACATTTACATGATCTCAAATGGCTTTCATGAAAATGTGGGTTGTGTTTGGGAAGCAGAAGAGCAGGTACAAGACAATAGTTATGTGTCTTCATCATTGGATTGCTGTACTCATTGCTTGATATATTTCACTAAATTTCAACCAACAGATTTTATTTTTATCTCTTAGAGGCACTAATTTTAGGTAAATGTTGAAGCTAGACTTCTTTGGCTATTCTTGTCACCAACTTGAGCCTTCTCCCTTCCTCTTAGGTAGGAAATATTGGAAAACATTTGTATATTTGACAAGTTTATATTTTTGTATGAAGAGCCTAAAAACAAATCGGAAAAGTCAAGAAAAATACCTCACCTCACTCCTATTTATCAATGAATAATGAATAGTGATCTGGCACAAGGTGGTTTGAGACAAAGAACTAAATAGTGAAAGTCAACAGCAGTCACTAATAATAGAAAAGGCAAGGGTTGGAATTACGTGATTCTCCCACACTGTGTATATATATCTATATCTATATCTATATCTATATCTATATCTATATCTATATCTATATCTATATCTATAGATACATATATATATGGCAGTAATTTTCAACCTTTTCATCTCATGGCACACATAAAATTAAGTACTAAAATTCTGTGGCACAACAAAAAATATGTAACATTTTTTGCCAGCCTGACAAAAATAGGTATAATATCGATTCATTCACACTGGATAGATATTGTTGTGTTGGCTGTAGTCATTTTTTTTTAATTTGAGAATCTATAGGAGAAGAGATCAGTGTTTCTGACTAAATAATCAAGTATTCCACTTTTTAATAATTCTTGATATTTGCCGGTGTAAAGTATTGTTTTTGAATCACAATGTCAACCTCCAAATCACTCAAACCACCTGTGAAGTAGCCAAGTATTATTTGGAGTTTTCAATATATATCTTACAACACATAGCCAGTTGAAGACAATGATGAATATATAATTTATATCATATCTTGGAAGATAGGAAAAAGTCTCACTTAAAAATTCTTTTGAAGAAAATTCTCGATCAGATATTTCTAAATTTGGTGCTCTTCTCAGGAAAAGTAGAGGAAGCACTTTCACATTTGTATCAAACTCAGGTGCTAAGGCTTATAAGCATGTATGCTATAAGTGTCTCAAACTGAATCACCTGACCTATACACGAAATGTATTTTTCAATAGAGCACAACTTTTACTCATTTCTTCATATACTATACTTTCTACTTTCTCAAGTTGAAGAAATTTCTGTAATTCATCAACTGAACAATCTGAGACTGTATTCTGAAGACAAAATACATTGAGCAGTTGCTCACTTTCTCCCCTATTGCTTAATACTATAACTTCAATTTCTTGTAATTATTTCTAGGAGAAAAGAGCATTAGGTCTTAATGTGCTTTGGCACTTCTCCTTATTGCCTGCTAACCTTCCTTTAGGTTGCCACAGCTCACCACAATCTGAGCAAAGAAAGGAAGAAGTTATGTGTGGGAAATGGCGGTGGGAATAACCGAGGTGACTTATAAATCCTCTAGATTATATTTAAGTGTGGGGAAATATAAAAATATATCTAATCTATATAAAACAAAATTTAGGATTAATTCCCATAACATTCTGAATAAGAAGATTTTAAACATATACACATATACAGGATCCAGCACAAATAGCACCCCACTTTTATTACAAAATCTTAAGTGCATAACATAGCAATATCACACTCAAGCACACCATATGACATTTTAGGTGAAATGTTCAAATTAAAACTATAAATTATTAGCCTCATATTATTATTACCCTACTAACCACACTCAAGCAGGCCTTATTTCTGTCAGACCCTGTATATAATTCACTCATTTATTTCTTAAAGTACTCAGCAAGTCCTGAGAGATCGCCTATTATTTATTAGATACAAACTAAGAATCTGTAAATAATAATTACTGAAACAATATCAATTTGATTATTTCAGTGTCTGTCAAAGTCTCTAGTTTGTGAACAAACTTTTTAAAATTTAAAAATTATTTTATTTGTATATTCTTGAATGCATGAGATCTAATTATATTATTAAAAATTGTTCCTACAAAATTTATAAATACAACTATGTGTATAGCAATACCAAACAAGTTGAGATTCATTTTCCCACTAATTTCATGCTGGAAAACTTCAAATAAAGCTGGCAAACATGCATTTAAGATAATGCAGAATAACTAAAGAGAATATAATGTTCTGAAAATGTTTTGAGAGTAAAGTGAGAACAAGTTTTAGACTTTTCAGTACTCTGCCCAGAAGAATAGGCCCATTAAATAACTCTAGAATGCAATTCCAGGCAATTATCTAATTGAGAGAGTTACAAATTAGATTTGCATCAGTAACCATTCTTTCCACCCCTAGTGAGTGTCACAGAAGGGAGTGGGAATGTAAAACTGGGCTGCACTGTAACAGATGGAAGATTTCTGACTCAATTATATCCTGGAGTATCTTATATTCCTCATTTAGAAAATATGGGTAATAGTGGTTTTTGTAGGGTTGATATGTAGCTATTAGCTTATTACATTATTTATTATTTCTCTGGAGACAAGTAGAAATTACTTCCTGTTCCAATTATAAGTGAAAAAATAAACATGCCAAGTACTACTCATCAACAGAGTTTTCTTTGTCAAAATAAAAATTGTGATCAAGAATATCACAGCTCTGAAAAAATTGTTTTCCCACAATACTCTGGATGATTGATTTTTGCTTAGGTTTTCAATTGAAAGGTGTACTGGTTTAAGAAACCTCACCCGCACAGAGGTGAGTCAGGTGCTGCACTTGAGTTCAGATACTCTAGAGGACTGAGTAAAGAGAAGTTTCTTTTGAAGCTCTTACATAGTTGGGACTTCTTCCATAAAGGCAATTCTAAATAATATCAGCACAGCTGGCCATGGAAAGAATGCTCTCATTCTGAAGCCTCTCAGGCATTAGAGAAAATGCTACCTAATTTGGCATTCTATTATGGTAAGAAATGAGAAGGAATTCATTCATTCATATATTCATTCATTCATCAAAGAGTTATTGAGTATTTTTATATATGCTATATATTACACTATTGTCTGAGAAGACAGAAATAATGGTCAAATTTAAATATAATGAAAGGCTGGGTAAGACAAGGTTATTGGACATATGGGATTTTTAATCTAGTTGTCTAAGAAGATACATAAGTAGAACTGTGCACCTGAAACCTGTATCATTTTATATTTTCATTAAATAATATCACCCCAATAAATTCAATAAAAAGAAGCTATGTATAAAAAGGAACAGAGTTAGAAAGCAGATTAGATTAGCTTAATAGTAAAATTATGGTAAAAGAAAGAGAGAAAATAAAAAAATAACATTTAAGCATCAAAATAAAAAAAAGAAACTTTGAATTGCTGTGAATATATTGTGTAGGACTCCTGAAGCATTAATACAAGCCAACCCTTTGATGCTTTCCAAGTAGAGAACACTTGTGAAGGCAAGTCACAGTTAATTAGACAGATAGCCTTCTACCTTAGCAAAGATTTTGTGTACTACACTACACAGGAATTAATCGGCTGATAATCAAAATGCCTTTCAAGAAGGGCTAAATATTGAATTCTAGCTGCCCAAAGGAGAATCAGTTTCTTATACATTTTTATAGCTGAATGAAGGTTAACAGCAACATTTGTTTAGATGAAAAGACAATGAACCATTGTTCACTACATAGGCCAGAAAAAAGGCCACAAAGACAGTCAAATTGGAAAGTACAATAAATAAACTTGTTGAGAACAAACTGTAAATATTTTTCTGCTTGAGAACAATGAAAAGTCAAACTTACCTGATCTACTATCCAGAGGTCCAAAATCCAACGAATATTTCACAACGTGATAGTTATTCCATACGTAAAGCAGGTTGTCTCTGGGGTTGTAATCCACAGCTGCTATGTATTGGTATGAATTGGGAAAGGGCACATCCACCACACTGTCCTTACTCTGATCGGTGTTGTAAATGTAGTCAATCTTATTCCCTGTGGCCTCGTTGTCATCATCCTCATACACAGATTTGACCACATACAGAATCCCACAGATCATAAAGGCGTTGGAAGCCGACCTTTTATCATACGCAGTATCCCACGTCCCTTCAATCCGTAGGGTGTAAGGATTTAATTGACTAATGACAATTTTACCATTGTTTTGTTCTGTTGCATAGATGACCCACAGCCCATTCTCATCCACTGCCAGGTCTATGTCAGATTTGCCTCCCCATCGGTAAGGGGAGGTATCATGGTAATTGGCATTTGCTATGATAGCCTCTCCGCTCTTTATCCTAGTCCGCAAATCAAACTTTACTATGTTCCTGGTACGCTCTTTGTTGAAAAACAGAGCTCCATCATACACTACAAATCCAGTACCATCCACCCTGTGAGGGAGCTTGTAGGTTGTAGTTGGCCTTCCAGCAATGAAGTCATCCTTGGATGAGTACTCGGTTAGGGTATCAGTTCTGTATGGCGTCCAGGGCATGTAATAAATCTTGTCAGAAGCCTGCAGAGGGTCTTTGCACCATGCCCCAGATTGGTGGTCAGACTCAAACAAATGTTCACTCTGGTAAACTCCTTTTAGTAGTCCAGGACAAAGAAAAACTGTTGGAAGAGAGAGAGTTAAAATAATAGATATATTAATTTTAATATTTTGCCATTTATTCTTATTTTTCACCAACATGAATGCAACTCTAACAAGAACTACCCACCACCACTTAATTACTTTGCTGCATTCTTCTGAGAACATCATATTGTCATACACATTAATTTTGACTTTTGTTTAAAATTATTTTTATTTCACTTGCTGAAAAAAATGTCCTTTTTATGAGTAGCTGTGCTTTCCTTTGGTTTTTACCTTTGTACACATGTATCACAATATTTTGGGATATATTTCTACAAATGTGATGTATATATTCCAGAGACATAGCAAATGCTAATGTTTATACATGATGGTTTTATTCGTCTTATTTAAAATTTCAAAAAAATATTGTTTTCATTCTGATGATATTAGCTATTCAATACTTATCATTAGGAAATATGTAGAAATCCAGTACTAATTAAATATAATAACAAAGGAAGAAAAGCCCTGCAAACAAGCCACTGAATCTTCTAGCAAAAAAGTTCTTCAAGCTGCTAAAGCACACACAGAGCATGCAACCCAAACAATTAAAATGAGTGATGGATGAATACTGGAAGGCAAAGGAGAAAGGAAGAGGAAGCAAAGAAAGAAGGAATAAGGAAAGAAGAAAAGGTGAAAGGTTACAGAGAGGAACCCAAGATCTAGATTTTAATCAGTTAAAAATGTCCTGTTAAATACAGTAGTACTGGAACTTAAAAAACATGTACCTTTTACTGTTACATGAGAAGACCATTAAAAAACAATATTACTTGCTATAATATTTTGCTGCTCATACTTCAGACTGAAATGGGCAAGAATTATCTGATGCAGTTGATTTTTAGCATGACTCGGTAGCACATCGGGTCAGTGGTTGTGGGAAAGCTTGGCTGATTGATCTGTAATGAAGGGGCTATAAAGCAATGTTTCCCAAAGGGTGGTCCTCGAGGCACCTATTTCTAGAAGTATAGCTACGTGTTACACAGAAAAAAAAAAAGGATCCCAAGCCACACATAAACCCATGCTGTGTTAAATAGAGTAGTGGAGGAGATTCCAATAGCTTAGGTACATTAATGAATCTCCAAGAGCATGAGCAAATTTGGCCAACTACTTTGATCATGACCCTTTCTATAGAGCCTCTTAGTAGTAGAGTATTCTTCTGAACCTGCTATGGGAAACACTGCTCCGATATTTTTGCAAAGCAAACACACTGAAATATAATCATGCAGTCTGCTGTTATGTTTGAAATGGTAATAAGTGTATTGGGTGGAGGAATTAGAATTCACAAGGAACTTGGATGTTTACCTGCATTTTAATGATTGATGAAAAAAGGTATTATTTTCTTGATATTAGTCATTAGCTCTAAGAAAAAACATAAGCCTAGATACAATAGAAAAAGCCTAAAATGAAACTCAGCTAGGATTTGGAGGTTATTAAAAAGGAAAGTACCTTATTAAAATGCCCGAAGTTTTACTTCAGGAGAAATGAAAAGTTGACTCTCGAACTCTTACATATCAAGGGTCAAGAGCCATTTTCAATTTATACGGAATAATGAAACTGATTATAATAACTTCTCAAGATTGTTAATGTGATGACTGTAATTATAAAGGACGGACAGGCATTGTTGTCAAAATTGTATGTAAATTTTGTTAGTTAATAATCAGCTCTCGGTTACTAAACTGGTTTATTTTAAGGTATTTCAAGAAAACCATTTCCTCTTTCCCTCAACAGTTAAAAAATAAAGGAACAGGGGAAACCATATTGGAGCTATGGAAAATCAGAATAGAAAAAAACAAATTTGAAGCACTCACTATCCACCACCATCTAATGGATTTCTAACTACTTATTTAAAAATAAAGAGGAATAGAACACACAGTTGAAAAGTTCACACTATTAAACGGTTTTAGGATAAAAGAATCGAATGAGCACTGGTCAGTACAACAAATTACAGTGAAGCTGAGCAGCGGAAGTGGTAAATAAATTTTCGTAAATAGATGAGAATTAATAACAAAATTAATTTAACTAAATGTTAAACTGTTAAATAACTTAGCCTATAAATAGATAAATAGTATATAATTTATGAAAGGTATTTAATTACCTTTTTGTTCCACTTCTATTGGAGAAAGAGAAGTAAAGAGAGAGAAAGGAGAAAAGAGAATAGATTAATGGTACGGTATTGGCCAAGCACTTTTTAATCACCTCTCCCAAACTGAAAGTAAATTATTTATTTCACTCATACTTGCTTTATTGAACATTATATGTGTTTTCACAAACCCATTCCTCTAGCAAAATTCTTTTTAAAAAACAATCATATTATAAGCTTGAAAATACAGTACAAACTTGGAAAAATAAGGCAAAAATTAATCAAGCTAAGATTAAATAATATATCTTTTTCAGCTCTATTAATTGGAAATATAATATTCATAATAAGAACACCAAGATTTCCATTTGAAAGGCATCTCAGTAATATACACAGAAAGCTTTTAAATTGTTTAGCTGGACTCATTTTTGAAATACCAAAGTTTATACCACTACTTATTATAATAGTATCACATTTTATCCACCTCAGAAATGAATCTCTTCAGAAGAAAGGACTCTGACTCATTTCCTAAGGCCTACGATTTTCCATAGCTTGTCAGTCATATGAGAAATGGAGCTCATGAGGCTACCCATTAACAGGGAATGCTCTCACCATGAAAAATGAATTTAGAATCCTATTGAAGAAACTCTCTTCATCCCACTCATCAATATTTTATAATATAGTGGAAAAATACTGCCTTTCTGAAAAACCTGTATTAGAAGTTTGATATAAATAATAAGTCACTGCTCTGACCTTTTCTGAAAATCTTAACTGAGTTTTTCAACACTCATGTAAGAATAAATTGAGATCCTCAAACATGGTTACATATCTTTCAAATTAGAATCCATTATTTTATATTTCAGGTACTGATCTATATAAGTCAGGGGAAATTCTGGGAAACTGTAACATATTCATGAAACTCATCAAGTAGTAGCTTCACTATCCTATAAATATTTGTCTCATCATGGACAATTTTTCCTAGATCACAACAAGGGAAAAAAAGAGAGCAATAAAAAAGAGAGGAAAAAAGTCAGAGAAGAGTGGGCCCATATTACAAACTTAAAAATTAAAAAGCACATATCTGAAGTTATATAAATCAAAGGTAATTTCAGAGGAAGGAATAAACTGAGACATTATGCATAATAAATAATTTAAAGTTCTAGGAAAGTTTCAAAACAAGGGAGAAATATTGTTTTGTGTAATTATATTTGAGTGAGGTTTTTATGCTTTGACCTAAGCTCACTGGCCTCGACTATTGTCAAAATACACTCACCTCTCTTCACTGATTTTTCTGAAACCTCAATCATATTCTTACATATCAGGTTATGCTTAAGAAGTTAAAAATGGGTTTATGTTTTTTAGACTCCTTACCTCGCTAATATACAAACCTCATTTTTAACAGTAAATATTTCTAGGACTCTTAAAAAAACTATTCTACTGCTAAAATTTATCATCATCCTCAAGTAATCTTTACTGAATAACTGCAGTGTTTTCTGACGTAAGTGGAATGTTTTACCTAAGAAATACACTTCATGCTATGACTGAAATACTAATAACCTTGGGTTCAGACTGGCAACTGGAAGCATAACTAAGAGCCTCAAACAGCTATTTAATCAATAGTTTCAAAGGCTTGGACTTGAGGCCCATTGAAAACCATACTGATATTGACATTTCCAAACACTACCCCACAAAGAAATTTCTAGAATTAATTTCATTCTTTGAAATAGCTCTAAATAGATATCTTTTGGGGAAGTGTAAAGGGAGGCATTTATATTCTAAAATATTAAATGTATACCCATACAACTTTATTCTTATTTCAAATAAAATTCTTAGTTGTTCTTATAGTTAAAAGCAAATATCCTAACTTCTTGGTGACTGGTATTTCTCTCTTCAAGAAATACTTAATGGAGAAAATGGACTATGTGATAGGAGGTATTGTTAAGGTATTATAGTCTGTAAATACTGTGTTATACTTTAATGGACCCTTTTTTAAATTTTTCAAAGACCTTTCATCTCTATTTTCTTAATTGTCATTAGCTAAAAATTTGCTTTTAATTCTCTGAACCTGACCTAATTTCAGAAATATTGGCATAAGCTCTACCATAAGTAACGCTTGCCTCTGTTTTTTGCTGGTTACTCAAAATTAAGATTTATTTGGCAGTTCTATTTTGGAGAAAATTATTATGGTCTTGCTTATGTCCTGACTGGTTGTAGCTCACTTATCTATCATGCATTTGCTATTTTCAAGATGGAAGTAAAACAATCCCATAATTTAAGTTGAAACAAGCACACACAAATCATATTCTCATAACAAAAACTAACAAGGCAAACAGAGCTTGTCATTGAAAACCTTAGTTACATTTAGGATTAGCCAGTCATTTGCCCATCGTCTAATTCTAGAAGCTTCCTGTCCCTGAAAACAGACAAATAAACACACACTTTGCGTAGGTACAAGAAACATGATTATCACTCTATCATTTACAACCTCAGTGCCTGGCACATAATAAATTCTCGGTAAACAGCTACTGAATTAATACATAATTCAAAGAAAGATGATTAATTCTGCTTCTTGATATTTTAAGCATATAGTAAAAAGAAAAAAGTGGTAAAAACAGAATCTGGATTCAGTATATCAAATCATATGTGCAATGCATAATCTGCATAATACCTTAAATATTTCAACGGTCAAGGAAGGAAGTAAAATGAATGAGCAGTTTGTATCTACAACTCATTAAACATGCAAGTTGGAGGGAAAAAGGAAATGGAAAAAATGTATAGATGGTTTGGGGGGTTAGTTTGGCAAGAAAAATGTGTTGCTATAAAAGAATCTGAAATGATCTACATATGTAGTCCAAAAATACTTCTTTCTCTCCTCTCTGTATTAAGATCATAACTAAATGAATTGTA